GAATACAAATGCATGCAACAATTTTTATTTGTGAAAAAAAAAGGAGGAAAATTGGAAGAGTTTAATTTTTCTCCCAGTTCTAACACATGTGCTTTGTGCTGAACTACCACAAGCAATCTCAGGAAAACAGAACGATATCTGTGGTTGCACTGTGACAAAATGTTATGGGTATACCTATTTAGCAATAGCATATTGGTTTTCCTTTTATGTTTTTGTGGCCAGTAAACAGTTAATGGCAGACAGCCTGTTTCCTATTTGGCACCGTTCCTGCAACCATTTATCCGCTGGCCGAATGATATTGAACCATCCATTTAGTTTGGAAAGATAGAGGCCATGCCATGTGTGGTGCTTGTCTGACCGTGTGTCTGCACACACTCGTGGTGTCTGCACGCACATGGAGGCAGCAGGTGGAACGACATGGACAGGGACAGAATAGAGGCTCAATCTGTGAACCTCAATCAGGAGCGTGGAATTGACATGGCGGCAGTCCAGAAAAGACATTATAGGACACTGACTGCATGGGTGATCACATATAAGGTCGCCCTGTTTGGCTGTCTGGCAGCTTGTTGAGCTTCTGGCCTGCCAACTTTGTCATATAAAGCAACAAAAGCATTTATTTTTATGTATTAATATTTTGCTTTTTTTGTACTTCCTTGTCTTTACATCTTAATATTACATTTATATCATCAGATCATCTTCTCGTAAGAGTGGTTAAAATCATTTGTATTTTTCATCAATTTAGAAAAGTAATTTGATGTAAGACTTTTGTGTGCTTTTGGTTAAAAGTACAATATATGCTGAAGCTAATGACATGATCAGGACATCTTTTGTCTTAAAGTTCTTTACATTATATTGGAATTGTGGTGCTACTAGTGGCAGCATCCTGGAGTAGCGAGGCTACATTAGCTTTGATTTGATCTTTTATGTTTTTTAGTTGACTCGTTGCATGCCTGGTTTTGAATCCTGAGCAGCTGGAAGTTTTTTTTTCTTCTCTTACTTTTTTGTTTCAGACAGTTGTGATAATTCATAACCGTGGCAACAAGGTAATCTTTTAATCTCGACAGATGAACAGAGTTGAAAAAGCTGATGAGCACGAGACGCCCCAGGTTGACCAGTTGAACATCGGCGACCCCTCATGTCAAAGTTCTGACTCAGAAAGTTGGAGGCTTGTCCTCAGCTCTGATCTGAAAAACAAGTATGGCTGCCACTGTAATTAAAGCGAGTGTTATCAGAAAGCTATTTCCTTCTGATGGTTTAAATCTCATTGGATCAGGTACATGGTACTGTGGAGCTCAAATCAGAACATTTGCTAAAGGGATTGAATCTTCTAGATGTGGAGAAACACTTTCAGTTTGTCAGGCTGACTATAGTCAATTAGCAAATCACAGCTGTTCTGCGAATTAAAACTGGATCACAGTTTTACTTTGCAGTTTTGAAACTTTGAGATTGAACTTTTAAGGTCACCCCATTTCTCAAAACAAGACATCAAGACATTTGAATTCATTAAAATTCAAATGTCTTGATGTTGGAGATACTCCTAAAAACGTCCGTGCTTTTAAGGTTAAAAAGCTGATACTTCAATGAATGCCGGCACTGATACCAGGTCTTTATGTACTTATAGAACAAGTAAAGATTTTACTTGTCAAAGTGTTACTGGGAGTAACAAATAAGGATTTTACTTGATCCCTATTTTTTGGGGACGCCCCCAAAAAATAGGGGGTCGAGAATGCTGGCTGTGTCCCAGAAGTCTTTTCCCAATGGGGCATTCCCAAATCAACTCAGTGACTCTCAACTTCTTTTTTATCTCAACATACCAGTTCAAGGAACACTGATGCTATTCCACCCTACCATCCCATTTCCACTAGATACCAAGATCCCGAAAACCTCTGATGAAGGGGAAAGACTGAACCCCAACCTGAGCTTTGTTCCAGTTGAGAATCTTTGGCTCATTTTCTACCCTTTGTAAACCAGCTGTTCAGAGATGCCATCAAGAGAAATACCTCATCCTTAGAAAGTGCAGGAAATGCTAAGTGTACCGTTACATAACCGATCGATCTGATACTCAACATAATACAATCACCAAAGTGCCTCATATTTGTCAGTGGGTGGGATGTTGCCTATAAATATTCATAAATAAGAGAGAGAGAGAGAACCAAAGGGAGTCATAACAAGGACTTGAAATAACTCATCGCTTTCAGAGTCACAAATAACTCTTTTGGTTCTTAGATAACAGTAATCCAGTTAAATACAGTTCCCAAACTGAAACAGCATCTCTTGAGTAGGAAATATGCCCTCCTCACTTAGATCACAACCCACGCACTCATCTCTTGAAGCCTTTAAGCCATCACTAAGTCAGCTCAAGTGTTTAGCTCCACTTTCAAATGCAGATTTGGGAGGGTAGACTATGGGGATGGGCGTGAAAGAATTGGCTTTTACGCTGATATGTTTTAATCAACCCCTGAGTCATTTGTCGCCATGATGGAGTTGAGGGTTTAGGCTGTAGTGGTAATCTAATCCATGGGAAGACTTGTGTCCCCTGCCTGTACCCTCCTTTCTCCACCCACGATGGCTTTTGGATCAGTGCCGACTTGCAGGCTGACTATAAAGGCTTTAATGTTCCAGTTAACTGCAGTTTGTTTTGGGGTGTGTGAGAGTGTGTGGAGATTGGACGTTAAAGCAAATATTAGTTTCACAGAATATGTTTTGTCTACCCTCTCAATGACTCACACAAACATGCTGGATGACATTAGCCATTGCTACACCCTGCTCCCTTGCATCTGGCAGTCTTGTTCCCTCCTAGAGTGGACAGAAGCGGTCTGGCATTTAGCCTGTCCTTTGATGACCTGATCCAAACCACCACATTAAGCAGCCATGAAAGAAAATAGGGGCGAGATGAGTAGAGGACAGAGATGTTCTGGAAGCATAAACGACCCAATATCCCCGTCTGTTCATTTGCAACTACATCAGTTTAGGCGGTAAAGGGAAGTCGCGTGTCATGTAGCGTTTTTGTCTTTGTACTGTCCCTTTCCAATCCTTTCTACGTCTTTCCGTAGTTGTCCAGCCATTTGCTCCTCCTGGACGGGGATAATGAACCGATGTAGGGTCCGTACAAACGATTGCGCCTATCGGAACGAAGCCACATTGCTTTTCTTCAGGGAGTGTCTCGTGCATTCTGGTGGCTTCCCACTCAGTCCAAAGGGGTTTTCTTGCTAAGATTAGTTTGGTCTTATTAGAGCGAACTTGGATCAGAGAGCCGCGAAGCTTCCTCTAATTCTTGCTCCGTCACACTCGCTTTAGTTGGCTCCTCCGTCATTTCTTCAGTGCCCTCTCTCCTCATCACTTTGCCATCCAGCACTTCCTCCCCCACATTTTCCCTCCCCTACTGATGGTTTGGTTTGCTGCAGTGGCAGCACGTTACATGGATAATTCGCCCATCTGCAACGGGCGGCGTTTCATTGAAGATGAGCGGTTTTGAATCTGTTTGAAAGTGCCTAAGCCCCTTCAGCCTTGTCTTCCTCGCTTCTCTGGGACTCTTTCGTCTGACTGTCTTCAGTTATCTCCCACCCTCCATACTTCTCTGCTAGTGTGCCATTTCTGCCCTCACTCCTCAACCCGCCTGTTGTGGCACCACGCAATCTGTCGATGCTGTTGTTGTTACTTTGGGGAGAAGAGATGGAAGTATCGTCTTTGCCTTTTTTTTTCTGTGATGGGACTACTACAAACATAGGGAAGGACATAGTGTGGCATAGTGATTTGGAACCTATTGTTGTTTTTTTCCCCAAACAATAAAGGCGGTAATGGCTGGTAAATCTACTTCTCCAGTCATTGGCACACAAGAAACCAATTAGTGAACACAATATTTACTATTTACTTGTTGAGAAAACATTTGTACAATAGCTTCACAACAACTCACCTATTGAGTTGCTTCTGTGTTTGTTCACATATTGCCAAGATCATTTTGAAAAGTAATTCAAAATTAGGCCTGTCACAATTACAAATTCTCCTGAGCAATAAATAGTCCCAGAAGCTATTGCGATAAACGATAATATTGTTGTTTTGATGCCATAAATGTCATAATAATGCAAAAACACATCCTGAAAGATCAATAAACTTTAATTTCTAATGAACATTTAACACTGGTGTTAAATGTTCATTAGATGTTAAGATGTTTTAAATATTCCAAATAAATAAACAACAAAAAAACTGAAACAACAAATACAGTTAACTACAAAGTCTTTGTAAAGAAAATCGTCCTTCAGAAAAATTGGGTAGTTGAGACCAAAGCACCAGACTGAAGACTTTTGTCATCCAGTTTTTGGCAAAAAGAGAAAAGCAGAATAATAATAAATAATGCAAATGGGCATTAGCAATCAGGAAGTAGCAGCACAAAAAAAATAATAATTAAAAATTTTGCCTGTTGAAACATATCTCTCTTCATATTTTCTGTCTTCTCCTGATGAAGCAGCCGACCCTGATTGGTTTGCGTAAGACCCGTGAGTTCAGCCTCAGTCGGCTCAGATTGCCCAGTCACTGTTTTTCTCACTGGAGAGGTCAAGTGTTAGGTTATATCTAATGAATCGCTCAGCTTCACAGCGTTTATAGTTAACAGCAGTTGAACTGGAGCTCAGGGCTCTTTCACAAAGTCACTGTATTAACCTCTGACCCCATGTTCTGACATGCACTGATTGCACGGATAGCAGCACAAAGAGGAAGCCTAGTTTTTTTTCTTTTTGCCGGCACTGAAATACGCTGAGCAGATCTACATTACGTAACTTGAAAAATTCAACTTGACTTTACACTTATCGCCACGAGCAAACTGGAAGTCAGTACAAACCATTTAAAGAGACGGCAGCGTAGGCGGTACATGACTACAAAGATTTCACTCATCCAGAATATGTTCTCAGTCATATATAAATGCAGAACTGTTTGGGAAAAATATAAGATGCTTGTACCAAATATGTGAAAAATGTGTATATATTTTTTTTCTGTTTCGTTACCAGTTCTTCCCTTACGGCGACGCGTCCAAGTTCGCCCAGCACGCTTTCAGGACCTTCGACAAGAACGGCGACGGCACCATCGACTTCAGAGAGTTCATCTGCGCGCTGTCCATCACATCGCGAGGGAGCTTCGAGCAGAAGCTCAACTGGGCCTTCAACATGTACGACCTGGACGGAGACGGCAAAATCACACGGGTGGAGATGCTGGAGATCATCGAGGTATCGCCGCACGAAAGAACTAAACGCATCTTAAACTGAGTTCACGCACCGTCTGTTCTGGTCAGGACATTGGTGCGCTACAGGATCTGGTGATGTTTTTGCCCCAAATGGTTGAATCTGGAAGAAAACGGAAGTGACAAATTATAACTGCAAATCCAAGCAACACGAAACATGAAGTCAGTCTGGAAAACATGGTAATGTTTTCAGGCTGTCCATGCAGATATTGGAATCGGAGTTGAAACGATAAATTAGATTAACTGTGATGAATTGTCTGTTGAATCAATCGTCAACAAATTGGATTGATTAACTATTTGCTGAACGAACAAAGTCAGAGCGGTAATTACGCCAAAACTGTAAATAAAAAAAAAAAACATATCTTCTTTATTTGTATGCTATTGAAATATGTCTTTAATAAGTCTTTAATAGATCATAAAAAAGAGGAGTAAATTTTTTCCCAAGAAACTCAAACATTTTCAGATTAATCTTAGAAATGATCTCGAATAAAACAAGGACATTTCTGAGCTCCAAAGATCAAACATTTGTTCTGAAAAAACAAAAAAACTCTGAAATTGTGAGATAAATCTAAGACGTTTTCTTTAATAATGTTTTTTTTTTATTTCTCTGTTTCAAAAGTCGAAATTTTTTTCTAGAATGTTTCTGAGATTAGTCTCAAAATTTCTGAGACTTCGGGTGGAAATTTACTCCTCTTTACTCCCTAATAGGCTGCCGTACAGTAATGACTGAGTGAATTAAATAAAACAATGAACGGGCTTCAAATCAACCAGATGTGTAAAATAATTTAAACCTCCCTGTTTCTTCCGCCTCGGGCTGAACGGCTTGTGTTATTATCCACATGGGCTCACCAACCCCCTTTCCTTTCGCTTTTGTGCTTTATCTCCCCCCCACACACACACACACACCCTCGGCAGGCGATCTACAAGATGGTCGGCACGGTGATCATGATGAAAATGAACGAAGACGGCCTGACGCCCGAGCAGAGGGTGGACAAGATCTTCTCCAAGATGGACAAGAACAACGACGACCAGATCACGCTGGAGGAGTTCAAGGAGGCGGCCAAGAGCGACCCGTCCATCGTACTACTGCTGCAGTGCGACCTCCAGAAATAAGCCGGGATGCGGCGGAGAGAGCGCCCCTCCCCCCACCCCCACCAGCCGCCACGGACTGCACAGAAAGAATTTCATGTTCCATTCGGTTTGCAGCTATTTCCACTGAAAAAAGTAAAAAAAGAGAAAAAAAGAGAAAAAAATTATATGCTTGGACTACCTTTCAATGGATCTGCTTCTTGTATTTGAAACACTCGTGTGCATGAGAATGTTATTTGCTATGAAACAAAAACATCGACACAGCATACCTGCAAACACACACACACACACATCTCTACATATAAACAACTTGCACAAATAATAACTATATATATGAAGAAATATAAATATGAATATATATTAAAATTATTTATAGATCAACTGCCAAAATGTGAAGTGTGCAAAAGTATTTTCCATTCAGTTTCATTCTACCAGAGCTTGCGCATCGTGTGATGTGCTGACGTCGAACTTGCCGCTACTCTATTTATTGTTCCGAGTTTACCGATGCTAGCTGTGCGTGTTTCACCAAAACCTGTCGACCGAACCGAACTCTTGCGACGGCGTACCTTCTTCCAGAACCCCCATCCGTCTGTTCAAATATTAGCTCTAGACGAGGCGGATTAGCCCGAGTTTCCCCACCGAAACGAGCCGGTGCCGTCCACGAATACAGTCAATGTTGTTCATTTGCATGCCTTTAGGTTCTGCCTTAAAAGTCGAATTTCCATCCGGTGATTGAAGACAGAAAGCCTTATCGACGCGACGCAGTGACTCTTGAGGGGAGACAGTTTTTTTTTTGTTGTTGTTGTTGTTGTCGTTTTTCTTTTTCAAAATAACTCAGCCCGCTGCGAGTATTCTTGTACCGGTTGTAAGCTCTGTGATCCGTTTGAGACTTTTTCTTTGGATTGCTTTTAACTGTGGGAGCATGTTTCCTTGTAGATTATCTGTGCTATATGTTGCTGAGACCTAAATGTCCCCTGCCCGATGTGCACACTTATCTCGTTACAAGTTGGCCGACGCCGAGGGATCAGGACCGTGTCGGTTTGGACGAGAGCTAAACTCGCAGAACTCCCGAGGTAAACCCAATGAAGGCGACTGATTTCGGATCGATCGGGCTGGAGTTGTATTAGGAAAGCCAGTCCGATTCAACTCTCTTTACTTATTTGTCACGTTTAGTTCATTTTGGCTCTCAGGTTGCATATCGTTACGAGGAATTAGAAGTGAGCGTTGAAGTAACCCAGAGGGGAGGTGTTTGCGGTGTCCCAAGAGGTCAGCTCTTAAGGTCAAGATTTTCTGTTCGGTAGGTTTATTACAACTTGTCCTCTTCGGAGCCCTCAAAGTGTTTCTCTTTTACCAATCAGTCCGATTTTTGTATGTTTTTTACTCCCTTTGTTTCATACGTCCCACAGTGAAGCAGTTCCTCCCGACGGTGACGTTACTGACGTTCCTTGGCCCCAGTATATTCCAGGCTTTATGCATTTGTTTAGTGGGATAACAGGAGAACGATGCAGATTTGGCAATAAAGATTTTATCATGTTAGTCCATCTTCGTCCCCTCAGCAGTGTGGATTGTAACCCTGGTAAAGTGTCCAATCTGAACATCTTAGGCCTGATGATGTTTCTAACTACGACCCTCCTTCTGAGAGGATACCAAGTCAAAGGAATGGCAACTGTGTAAAAAAAAAACAAAAGCAAAAAAAAACAAAAAACAATTCTTTTGTAGCATGTATTGTGTCCCTGACGACATGGCTGCACTACTCCCTGTATTGTGATTTAATCTAATAAAATAAACTCTATGGGCAGTTTGTCTGGTCTGGTGACTCAACCAACCGTCCTTTCGACCAACATCCACGGCTGAAATGCAACAGGAATGGAAAAGTCTAGTAATGCTTAATAAATGCAACAGTTCCCACTTTGATTTATTGATTCTGTATGCATTCTCTTTGACTTTAACATTTTGTCGATCGGTATTGAACAGAAAATTGTGTTCTCATCACCTCACATACATGAACAAATTTATCCGTTCTTAAAAAGATATCTATTGCTTATTTAGAAATTTGAAAGAAAAAAAAAATCATTTTATGACGTAGTTTGTCGACAGCCTTGAATTTCGATTGAATTGCGTTTTAAATTGGGTCTAAAACACCAAATCAGCAATAAAGCTTTTTTTTTAAGTCCAAGCGTCTCTAGAATTTGAACAAATATGATTTATATATATATATATCATAAAAATATGGACCTGTTGCTAATAAAATGTAACTATTCAAGAAGCACAAGCATTATTTTACGCTCAAATAGCCAGAATAACACAAATAATACAAAGTAAATTCCAAGCCAGCATTAGCTCAATGCTACTGTAGGCCAACTCTGAACGTGAAATTGATGTTTACATATTTCAACTCTTACTGTTACCTTTCCCTAATTCTTGCAAGAGGCAGTTTGTGCTGCTATATCACTTTTTAGACTATTTTTAAATTGAAATTCTAAACCAACGCATTTGTAATCATAAGCCCACTTTTGGATTTCAGCTCTAATTTTTGTTGCAGACTAAAAAGTGTCACCTCCTGATAAAACTTTGTTTTTTTTTTCAAAAAGGACATATAAACATTTATGTTTTCTTGTGTAGAGTTTAAATTAAACTGCTTTCTGGGTGAAATCAATTCCCGAAATATAGTAATTCTCATTTTGAGGCTTTACATTTAGACATGTGTCAAACACATAAGCAGAGTCCTCTTGTTTGCGTTGAAGTGTATAGATCTCACAGGTGTAAGCGACACTTTTACATAATTATATGGAGAATGTGAGGAAAAGTAGGGAAACGGGCTTTTAGAAAAAGAAGCATTTATTTTACAGAAAAGTTTAACTCCACATGAGCGGTTCGTGTTGACTCCAGCTTACTGTTCAGAGAGATAACTCAAAAGATCAGAACCATTTCTGCTGAACTGATCAAAATAAAACGGTTAAATAGAAACTATCTGGCTTCAATTTAAAGCAAGAGAAATAAAAAAAATGTGTAAAATGGCATTATCCACAATTGTAATCACAAGCATAAAACAATCAAGAGGGGAAATAATTTTTTTGTTTGTTTGTTTTTACAAAGAATGAAAACTGAAAGACGGGGGGGCCTCGGAGACGCTACTTCGGAGGGTCTGTGTTGATTCCATATTTCTCTTTTAAGAGCTTCAGTTGTTCCTCTTTCTTCTTCGTGTCCATTTTCTGGAACGCCTGCAAAAAACAGTAACACAGAAATACAAATTTAGCAGGAACCAATGCGACGGATTCACCCTTTTCCCGCACAAAGTGAACATCATTTGGCTTCGCTTGGGCACCAGACTGTGGAAACTTGTGCCGCAGAGACGTACTCTGTTTGCATTGTAGTAGAGAACAACGAGGTAACGGTTGCAGACGTTGAAGCCAGACAGGTGGTCGCAGGCATTCTTTGCATCGAAGATGTCTTCGTACACGACGTAAGCGGTTCCTCTGGTTTCAGGTGTATTCCCTCTGTGAGGAGAGACGAACACGGTGAGCAGCAGACCGACATGCACTTTTAATTATTTACAGCAAAACGTAGCATGTGCAGAGGCTTAAACCAACAACGTTCTTTGTGTAACAAAAAAAAGCAAAAGTCTCACAAGTGAAGCACGTGGGAAAACACTCCCATCTTTACAAAAACATTAACAGAGTTCAATATGGTCCCCAAAAAAGTGTCTGAAACTGAGCTCACGTTCGGATTTGTCGTATTGGTCCGTATTTCCCAAAGATATCGTACATCTCCTCAGCTGTGATCTTGTAAGGAAGATTCCTGACATACAGGATTCTGTTCACCTCAGGAGGTAATCGGATCTGCAATGACAAGGGGAGAACTTTTTTTTTTTTTAAATAAGATTTTTACCAATCACAGAGGAAGCAACAACATCTCAGAGACTGTTTACAGCTTCCCAGGCCTGTAAACTGGTTGAAGACAAAAATACAAATGCATTACAAAACATTTACTTGTACACTTTAAAGACGAGCAAAGAAACCGTATTTAAGTAAAATTACAGCTCATAAAGATTACTACTAGATTTTTAAATTGCAGCTACTAGATTATTTTGTATTTTTAATTCAACGTTTTAAGAAGCTCTGTTTCAAACTCTTAACATATTTACAATTGATAAACGTTTGCCAAAATATTCAAAGCTTCTGAAACGTTTGTTTTATTAGTAAAAACGCATCGAATTAAACATCTTTATACGTAAACACCCATATGCGAGCAAATAGCATTCATGTCCGACAGCATTTTTCGCCTCATATCCGATTAGAAAAGTACCTCAAAGCTCTCACACACTTATAAAGTATTAGAGACTTCAAGGTCAGTGCAACAAATACAGAAATCAGCACTGTAATAGCTCTAAATACAGTAACCCAGGCTCTTCTCCGGTGCTAACACGGCTAACCGAGTTAGCCGTGTTAGCACCGGGTATTAAGCATGTAAGGACTTAGCTAACATTTACGTTTACAGTCGATTCGATTTTAACTTACGTTAGCGCGTTTCGCTGCTTGCATAGCCATGGTGGCGGGTTAAGTTGAATAAAACACGTCGATAAATAACAAGCACGCAGTGTTCTGGGTTTTCCTGTCGTCGTCAAAATGGCAACAGTCGCTGGTTTGTGACAAACTTCCGGTGACAAACTTGGAGGCAAACAACGCGGTGCTGCCCCCTGTGGTGCTGAAATGAATATACAGAATTTGTCACAGTGGGACTTTGTTGCTCCACCTTTCTCCACATGCCATGCTGTCGAAACAGTTAGGCTTGCACTCATTCTGACTGTATATAGTAAAATAAATTCAGATTTATAAGTAAGCCACCATTATAGAATATTATTGTCCCAATTTAGTAATATTAAATATGATATGTTTTTCTTATATTACTTACAAAAATGTCCACTAGGTGTCTCTATGTCTCATCAGCTTCACAAGCCATTACCTTGTCTTGAAAGGCTGTTTAGTACTCTGACCTCTGAATTAAATAAAACTGACACAAATGGTGAAGTTTTTGCCTGATAGGTAACGAAAAACAAAATTCAATGTCAGTCAATGTCGTACATGAACATGACACTTTAACGCTATATAAAAGGCCACAAACAACAAACAGTAAGAAAAACATGCAAAGGTGCACATTTTAGAGTCCGTACTGCATGAGAAGGAATTATCCGTTGCCAGTGTTAAATATTGGTGACCGTAACCGTTCACAAAAAAGCGAAACTTTTTTAGCGTTTAAGAAAATGCACAGCTCAGATAATCCCTCTGATGAGAAAACATATTGTAGAAACACAGTCCTGTCACAGCATCTCAGCATTTGAGAAAATCAGGAGATCCTTTAGCTCTGCCTCTCAACACATTTAAAGCGAAAAGAAAGATTGATAATGCTCGTCAGGCCACACCAAGGAAAGACAGTTTAGGCTATGAAGTGCTGCCGCATGTGGCAGATAAAACAGATCAGATTAAAACGGTGTAGAATGATTTGGAAAAAGGATCAATTTCCATCAGTATGAAAACAAGCAATGATTGTTCCAACCTGTGAAAGATGGCATTTTGTCACCTTGTTAAGGAAGAATAGAAAAGAAGACAATGTGTTCACTCAACTCCAAATAGGAGATTTAGGTGTCACCGAGAATTTGTCCTGGTTTTACTCCAATAAATACAACTTCCATATAGATCCATTTTCAGTCACTATGAAGGAACCTAAATTCTGGGTTCTTGGAGGCTCAATCAGTTAACGTGTGCAGTAAGGTTATTTCCTTTCTAAAGGCAATTAGATTATCTAGATGAATCTAGTCTTTTTTTTTTTTGTGCCTTGCTTATTTTCCAGAACCACACTCCAATCTGGCTGCATAGTGGCGCAGTTGTTGTTGCCTTGCAGCAAGTAGGTCATGGGTACGATTTCTGGCCCGGAGTCTTTCTACGCAGAGTTTGCATGTTCTCCCTGGGTTCTCTCCGGGTACTCCAGCTTCCTCCCACAGTCCAAAAACATGACTGTCAGGTTAACTAGTCTTTCTAAATTTTCCCGAGGTGTGAGTGTGTGTGTGCATGGTTGTTTGTCCTGTTGGTCTCTGTGTTGCCCTGTGACAGACTGGTGACCTGTCCAGGGTGACCCTGCCTCTCACCCGGTATGTTAGCTAGAGATAGTCACCAGCACCTCCTGACCCCACTAGGGACAAGGGTTTTAGAAAATGGATGGATGGATGGATGGATGGACGGACGGATGGGTGAATGGATGGATGGGTGAATGGATGGATGGGTGGAAGGATGGACAGATGGGTGGATGAAAATGGTCAAGGTTCATAACTGTTCTCACATCTGTCAGAAACAGATGTTTCTTTAATAAGCGTTTGACATCTAAACACAAACTGATAAATGAAGGTAGTTAAGCTTAACATTAGGTTATATTTTTCTAAAATTATTAAAACTCACATTTGAGTAATGGTTTTAAACTCGCCGTTCATGTATTTCTTTTCTTTCTTTTTTTTTCATTTTTACCTGAAAATTAGACAGCGTATTGTTATATTATATTTATTTTTTTGAACGCTTTTTTAAAATTTAACTTAATGGTATTTCCGGGTCACGCGAGGAGGAAGAAAAAAAAAAAAAGAGAGAGAAACGTTAGGCACGCGCTTGTGTGGGGGGTTTTAGGCTAGCGACCGTTAGCTAACGGCTGTGTGCAGTAAGGTTTGCTCACTAAACTAAATTCCTCTGGGAACAGCTAAACTTCTCACCGAGAACACAGAACATCGCAAGAGAAAAGCGTCGTGACTGAACCGAC